AGAAGGGGATCATATTGGATCACTTGCCTGTAAGTTGTTTATTTTAAAATTATTGTGACTTTTTTGTATTGGGTCAGATTGTTATTATTAATGTTTGATATGTTTTTATATGTGTTGGAAACTGCCCACAGTGGCTGGGGTGAACCAGCCAGATGGGTGGGGCACAAATAATATAATTATCATCATGATGATCATCATCCATCTCTGAAGACCCATTAGTTATGGTGGAAGTTCAAGGTGTGGTGCATTGCAGCCTTAAGCTGTGTAAAGGTTCCATTGAATTGTTTGGAACTTGTACAGGAGTAACTGCCACGGGATTGCAGGCTAAATATATACTTGGAAGGAAGAACACACTGCAGAGCTACCCAGAAATCTCAGCACTAATATCTTATCCATTTAGTTAAAAATAATTTTGGCATCGGCACAGCCATGGTAAATGTATATTTGTTTGATTTGACCAAATGGTAGAGTATCACGGCAAGCACACTATTTATGCTATATCTAATGGTAGATAACATGGAAGTTGCTATGAGTGTTCCACATCTATTAAAATCAATGGGCAGGGATGCCAATGGTGTGGATAAGAGAGGAATTCCATCCTGTGTTTTAGTATTAGAGCATTCATTGGTCTTGGCCATGTGAATCACTGAACTAGTGAATAGACACATCTCATCTGATACTCTGAAGAAGCAAGTGTACCAACTTATGTGCATCAGAAACGAAACAGATATATCTGTTTTAATTTAAGCTTTTTGACACAGCTTGCTCTGGATAAAAAACACATCTAGTATGTGCAGTATAAAGAACTGAGACTCACCACACTATGGAATATCAATGGATTACATTTCACACAAAAGGAAACTGAGCTGTAAGACTGAGCGACTTGTCCAAATTATTAGCCTGTATTAGAGATGCAATAGAAGCCAGGCTTCTTGATGTCTGTCTCTGTGGTTTAACCACAAGAGTGCTAGCAATAGAAGACAATCAAAGAGACAATAATCTTTCTTCGTATCAGTCTGAAGTTTTATAATCAAAGCCAGAATGAGAAATTAACATCCTATCTCTTCCTGCCCTGTGACTGAATAACCCTTGGGAATATTTTACAATACTGTTGACTGTTGGTTCCCAAATGCTGGGCTGAGGACAATTAAGAGATGGTTGAACATTGACGTTCCAGAAGTTGAAACCAAGTGATTAAGGGTGAAAGTCATTTGGTGGAGATTGGGAGTACATAGGGCCATGCATGAAAAACAGCTTGCCCTCCATCTCAGGTGCTAATAAAGACTGGAGAAGAAGACCAGCATATTCCATGGAAGCATTTTCAACTGAGAACAAAAAGCACTCAGATATCTAGTACTTTGTTCATCAGAAACAAAGCAAGATATATTTGTTGATTTGACTCAAAAATTTCTTTTTCATTATTCAAAAGGAATCAACTGAAGAAATAAACTTTCTGTCAAGAATGACCATCATTTCACTTAACAATCTCTATGCATATATTGTGATCCTATCAGATCTTTGTACAACATGTCATTGGTCAATAGCAAGCACGGTTCAAAGCAAAACTAAAATGATATTTGACTGGACATGAGAGAAACTCAAGTGCCAGTAGGGCTAGAAAGGTTTATATGCACAGTCCACTTCTGCTAGAACTCAGTGGTGGTGCATTCATGGGTTGCATCCAATGGGTGGTGCATTCATGGGTTGTTCTACTTGAAGATGCTTCCACTTTCCTAAGGAAGGGTGCCATTTTTCACTGTCCCGACACCTGAACAAGCCACATTACAAGATGCCATGGCACTAGTGGGTAGGGAAGCACTGACGGAAATTGGTGTCTTTCCTTGAACAAGCAGAAGTCACCATTAGACATTGGTCATTCTAACTGGAGCTGATGATATTTGGAGTCCAATAAAATCTGGAGGATTCCATACCCCTGGTTTCTAGCCTAGTCTAGTCTAGTCTGTGTTTTGGAAGGGGTAGCACTCTGTCCAATGAGCAGTATGCAATTTAGAGTATTCCTTGATCCACAGTTGTCATTAGATTCAAGAGGGCATTGATGGCAAGGAGTGCCTATTTCCAGCTACATCTAGTTTGCCAGGTACGGCCCGCGATTGATACCCCCTAGACCAGGATAGCCTGCTATTGGTAACCCATGCTCTAGTGACCTTGCATGTGTATTATTGCAACATGATCTGCATGGGGCTGCCCTTTGAGAGGAGACCAAAGCTGCAGCTAGTAGAGAATACAGCTGCCAGTTTATTAACTGGGGCAATGAGATCGGATCAAGTAACACCTATTTTAAAAGCTCTGCACTGGCTTCCTGTGTGCTTCTGGGCTCCATTCAAGATTACTGATGGTTAAAAAAACCCCTCTATACACCCCAAATATCTGCAAAAACAACTCCTTCAATGCCTAAATACTTGATCTTTAAGATCAACCTACTCATACTCCCTGCCAGGATTCAAGATGAGGACATAAGTAGAGTGGCTTTCTTCATAGGTAAAGGGACCCCTGACCATTAGGTCCAGTCGTGACAGACTCTGGGGTTGTGGCGCTCATCTCGCTTTATTGGCTGAAGGAGCCGGCGTACAGCTTCTGGGTCATGTGGCCAGCATGACTAAGCCGCTTCTGGTGAACCAGAGCAGCGCACGGAAACACCGTTTACCTTCCCACCGGAGCGGTACCTATTTATCTACTTGCACTTGACATGCTTTCGAACTGCTAGGTAGGCAGGAGCAGGGACCGAGCAACAGGAGCTCACCCCGTTGCGGGGATTTGAACCGCCGACCTTCTGATCGGCAAGTCCTAGGCTCTGTGGTTTAACCCACAGCGCCACCCAGGTCCGACTTTCTTCACAGCAGGGTCATAATTCTGGAGTGTATCTATCTACCTTACCGTTAGTTGTCCAGTAACAATTTCAAACATCTTTCATTTGCCAAGCCCCTGCATAGTTTGATAAATAAGAGATCAGCAGTGTCTGTAATTCTGTTTTAATTGATTTGAGATAGATATAGATATAGAAATGTATATTTTAGAATAATGTCATTTTATTGTATTGTGTATATATGCTTGATGTGCAACACCCTTGGCTCTTTCTGAGAAATCGCAATTGGAAAGGAAAGGAAAGGAAAAAGTCCTAACAATAGAAAAATCTTCAGTAATCTACCAATAACATTTCAGTACAATATCTAAGGAAGAAAATGCACTGAGTTTGTAAACATAAAACTGACGCATTCCTAATCATTATCTATATACACCTTCCCAGCAAGGAATGATTGATAGGATGGGAGATTTCAGAACTAATAGATTCCATGTGAATGTAAAACAAAATGGAATGACAGAGAGGCATGAGAATCACATATGAAGAAAAGAGAAATATGGGTAGAGTATAAACTTATTCTAGTGCTGCAGGGGGTCTTTAAAGCTTTATCTCTCCCCCCTAAAAAAACCCCAACAACCCCAAATTGCCAAGCAGTAAGCTTAGGATCAACTCTAATAAATGCATGGACTTCCTTTACGAGTGTCATGAATCCATTCACCATCAATTTCCGACAGCCATGATAAGATACATCAACAGTTTTGCCCCAGCTTTTTCACCTGCCATGTGCATTTTGAAGACCACTGGTGCAATATGTTCTTAATCCATTTGCTTGTTTGCCTGTACCAGCCTACAATAAGAATCTCAGACATAAATAATTACCTAGCACAGTGATCAACACAATGATCATGAAAGAAAATAGTGGTTTAGAGTTGCATTTCAGAGACGGATAAGGTTTCCTCTTTTGGTTCATTGGGCAAATCACTGTCGGGAAGCTGTTGGCTTCTGTTTCTTTCCTGAAAAGTGTCAATTGGGTCTTGTCCATTTCAAAAACAGTTCCTGCACAGCATCACAATATCAGGGCTAAGTGCTAGCTTGAGAAAACCAATGACACATATACTACATCTCTGAACCATATCAACAGTCTCTGCTTATCTGCCCTTGTTCTTTCTTCTACCACTGAACAAACCATTAAAGCACTCAAAGCACTTGGAAGGATAATAATGGAAAAGTACATGTGTACAACAGGGTATCTGATGCACTCTGTCAGCTGATGGTCAGAAGCCATTGATTAGAGAGGAGTTAACTCTAAGGAATGAGTTGGTTCCAATCCAATTATCAAATGCACTATGTATTTTATGGGTATGCACTATTTATGTCTGCAGATCATATGTAATCACAGAGATAGTTTTATGCAACCTGTAGCATATGCCTCTAGCCCTCATGGTTTCATCTGTAAGATTTATTTATTCATATTTGTCTCTTAGCTAAGGGACCACCTCGCCCTAGCAGCTGCAGTTCTCAGGTGAAGCACTGCTGAGAGTACCAGGTGCCCCAGAGATGTGCATAGTGTTTATTAGAAAATGAGCTTTTAGTGTAGCAGCTCCAGTTCTCTGAATTAATTGCCAGCTGAAACTACAGTAGACAAATGCCTAGCATCCTGATGTTTAGGCACCTACTGAAGATGTTTTTGTTTAAGAAGTCTTTCCCTTCTTAACCAGTAATTTATGGATTATTAATTGTACATCTATAGAAATAGTTCTATTGATTTAGTGTTTTCAGAATTTGTACATTTTGTATTTATCCCCTTTCTATCTTGTTGTACATCACTTTGAAGGACATTTAAGACATCGTAGTTGCTGTTCTGCCTTGTCTTAAGCAGATATATACTCTTTTTGCAATGATGCATATTTCACGGATAGGGTGACCTGAATCTTACTGCCAGGTCCAACATTTTAGGATCGCACCTTGAAGGTGTAGCACTCTTTTTTTCAGAATCCATGCAGACTAAAGTTTCTGCAGGATTAAAAGAAAAGAGGAAGGACAGGAGTAATAAACAAAGAAAGGGATTTCCTTCATTTTCACCAGGGGGATCAGAAGAAAAAGAATGAAAAATAAGAGCCTCGTACATGGTATATTCTTGTGCCACCATGAGACTGCCGAGATGGTCAGATTATGGTCCCTTCAATTGTCTGGCTTTGGAAAGACTATTGATTCCAAGCAAGGCTGGCTGGCCCATTGGGCTGTACTGCTGGGTAAGGGAAAGTGGAATTAATGGTTCTCACTGGCCCCAGTGAGGCATGAAACTGGAGCTGGAGCTCAACAAAACTCATTACCACATGATATCAGAGAGCACACTTTGTCACTCCAGGAGCAAATGACTTCAGTCCAGAAGAATACTACATAGAAAGTCCACAGTTCAATGGCAGAATATATATTTTGCATGCCAGTTCTTGAGAAAGGTTCTTAAGTGACTGCTCAGTCTGCTGTCCAGGTGTTAACTGTTGATGAGCAGCTTGAAGGCACCTGTTCTCCCTTAGGGTTCTTTATCTCTGAGTTGGATATTCCTTTGAATGGAAGATTCCTTCAAATAGAGGACTTTCCTATGACAGCTCTTCAGATAGAGGTCTGTCCCCTGCAAAATAGGACACATGACCACCCTAGCCCCATTCTTGGACCCATCTTACCAGTTGCCTATTTCCTCTTCCCTGCCTCGCTACTCCCCTCCCAATCCTCTCAGGATTCATACTATAGAGAACAAAAGGGTATTTTATTACAAAGAGGGAGGGGAGAAGAGAGATTAGGGCAAGTTATCAAATGCTTGATTTAACATATACAAAGTCAAAATTCCCACCTCATAATAGACCTGACTGCAGCTCAGGTAGCAAATGGAGATAATCTTTATCCCTTACCTGAGCAGGATGCGGCTGGCAACTTATATCTGGATGCTGTGGGGCACTTACTTCCAAATCTTGGATGGCCAAACAAGTCCACTCCTTTGAAGCTGCTGACCTGTCCAGACTTCTCCTCTGAGCATGGAGGTCAGGTCTTAAAGGGGGTTTCTTGCTAATGGGCTCTTTTCCCTCAGCAGTGCTCCCAACTGTTCCCAAGAGACTTTCTCCCAGATGACCCAACAGATGTCAGCCTTCCTTGGTTTACTATTCCCAAAGGATCATTCCCAGAGAGTCACATTGCCCCCCTTTCTCCCAGGAACGTGTGAGACTTTAACCCTATTTGCCCTGTATATGCCACTCTATCATCATCATCAATTGATTAATTGGCTTCTATACAATTGCCTTGAGATAGATTCAGTTATGAGGGAAGTTCTGTTACAAGTTCAGTTATGAGGGAAGTTCTGTTACAAGTTCAGTTATGAGGGAAGTTCTGTTACAAGTTCAGTTATGAGGCAAGTTCTGTTCTGCCCAGCTAATATGTGAGTTAAATAGGATAATCAGGTTTCCTGCTGACATTGAGGGAGTCCTACATGCATACATATTCACATCGCTTCAGATTAACACTGACTGCACATTGACCAGTTTCAGAATCCCCTTCAGTACTAGCATGCATGGTTTTTATACTGGTTATTATGATTATGAGCCAATGTGGTGTGGTGGTTAGAGTGTCGGACTAGGATCTGGGAGGCTGGGGTTCAAATCCCCACTCAGCTATGAAACCCACTGGGTAACCTTAGGTTAGTCACTCACCCTCAGCTGAACCTACTTCACAGGGCTGTTATGAGGATAAAATGGGGAGAAGGAGAACTGTGCATTTCACCTTGAAGTCCTTGAAGGAGAGGCGAGATGTAACGATAAATCAACAACGATTGGTTAATACCAGTCCCTCATAGACCATTGCTTAGTGGCAGTGCGCAGGCGTTCCCAGAAGTTCTATCCCATGGTGTCTCCAGGCAGGTCTGGAAATGATTCATGTGTGAAACCTTGGAGAGCCACTGCAAGTCAAGACAGTGCGGCAAGACAATATTGAACTAGGTGGGTAAAGAGTTTCCTCTGTTTCTATTTCGTATAACTGGGAGGCCTTCATTGTGCTGACACTGACATCTTGTTTCACACGACAGCATAAATCACAAGCTTGTAATGTCAATTAAAACATATACCACATTCTTTTCACACACACACCCCATAATGTTTAATCCAGGTATGACAGGTTCGTTTCCTTTGAGGTCGGGGGTATCATCCATTCTCCACTTGCCAAGATCTAGCATGTCTGCATGCAACAATTGTGTTTTATGAGTTTAGCATTATAATTACTGAAGTATCTGCGAGGGTGACAATCGGTTTCTTTGTTTACCGATAGGGATGTCTTTTTTAATGATATAACACAGACATTTCAAAAGGATTTTAATAATCTGCTGGGTCTGGTGCTATATAATTTAACAAAACTGCCAATGGCATTATGTCAGCAAACTTACTCATAGTGAATCTATCTTTTTACTCTGACTCAAGCAATAGTTGCGACTCGTATTTTGCAACCCCTGGCTAAAAGAAGCTCAATTACTATTTTTTAATTACAACGTATGAGGGAAACAGTATGTATGTATGTATATACATACAACACAGCCTACGGTACCAAACTGGACGCATGGTATAAATTTCCTTAGAGCCCATTTGGTGTATTTTCTTGGTGGATGGAATCTCCTGCAGCACTTCTCAATCCTTCACTGCCTGATCCATGTAGGAAGAGGCCATGATGAGACTCCTTCTCCATCTGATACAATACTGCCACAACTGTAGTATCAGAATGTAGCCTTGCTTACTTATCAGTAGGGATTAACAGATCTGTCAGTTTCAGTTCTCTCAGTTTCTCATTTCTCCCACAATCCTAAATTCCATTTTTCTGCAGCAATTTCTGATATATATGTTTTAATCTTCATGAAAATTCATGAAGCATTTGGGTGCAATGTTTCCTAATGAACACAGTTTCGCCTACTGTGCACATTTTTTTTTTTTGGCAAAGCTGTTTCTCCTTATTTTGCAGTTTTATGCTATTTTTCACTAATAATATGCCTTTGCATGCCTGTATTTTACCCCATTAATGTATTTTTGTAGACATTCCTTGGTTGGAGAACTTAATTACAAAATTCACATAAGTCCGAATTGGAAAGAGTGGTTGTGTTTTGGTTTGTTTAAAGGCAAGTTTGCATTTAAATATTGACTGAATCACATTCCCCCCACCTACCCCTACTTAGCAGCTATGCAGTTTCTAAAAGAGATTATTTATGTATTTATTTATTTATTTTTGTTCTATCCCGCCCTTCCTCCCAATGGAGCCCAGGGCAACAGCAAATCCATCTCACAGTTAGGAAGAAGAGCGTGGTTTCTCCAATCTCGATAACTCTCCAACAAGATGCGTAGACAACAGCAACTCACCAAGTGGGAGTCTCACGAAGGAAAAAGGTACTAGACAGAATTCAACACAACCCTACCTTTCATGATAAAATGTTACAACATGGCTTGGTAATGTGGAGTCCTTGGATCCACTATGAATTAGAATGAATCACAGAATACAAGCATGTGAAGTCACCTTGTACTGGGACCATCTACGTAGCTCAGTATCACCTACTCTGATTGGCAGTGGGGTCTATGAGCTCTGGCAGATATCATTCTCATCCCCGTTACCTGTGGTGCTTGGGGAGATAGAGCCTGTGGCTTTCTTCATGCACATCATATATTCTAGGGACATAAGAAGCTGTCTTCTACTATGCCTGTACTCAGATGGACTCATCATGTTAGTTTTACTGATTTTAATGCTACTGCTTCTGTCTCCATTTCTGCCATTGCTTTTACATTGGTATACCTTGTTGTGGTATGGATCTGTGGGGATTTTTTTCACTAATATACTGCCATGTTGTGCTAAATTTTAAAAGGTAGGAAAGAACTGTCAGCACTAAACTCCCACAATTTTTCAAGTTACCATGGGTACAAACAGATTTCTTTTGGAAACATTTGATGCAGAAAGGAGCGCTAAATTTCTGCTGGTTTCCACTAGATATGCATCATGAGAAATATCACATAAAAAGTAAAAATGAACAAGTATGAAAGCATGATGCAATAAAATGAAATAAAATGATGTCTAATAAAATGAAATAAAATGATGTCTAAATGCAGCCTGAGTCAGAGTACTAACCTATGTTTTTCAGTGACTCCCCGGGGTTTTAGACAGGGGAAATTTCCAGCCCTACCTAGAGATGCTTAGGTTTGGACCTTATGAGGCTAATGCCCTGCTTGTGAGCTACTGCTCTTTCTCTGTACATCAGAGGAAAAACCAAAGTGATATCAATCTTAATTATATGGTTGCCTCCAAATTCTACCTACTGCAAAATTTGGGTAATTGATTAATGGCATTTAACATTCTTGCTGACAGGTTGCTTCCAGAAACCGTCCAGAATGAACAAAGAAATAGGTCAAAGCACTCAACACTCCTTCAGCCTCATCCTTTGACATATGAACGGAGACTGAAGCTGCAAGCAATCTGTGTCCATCAAGTGGCTTTTGGTTGTGCAAAGGTACCTATTAAGCTCCTCATACCTACCTGTTTCCCTTGCAACGTCTTATCCACCCTTATGCAGAGGGAACATTGGGACCCAAGTTCCAACTGTAATAAAGTAGACGAGGTGGGCAGGGAGAATGCCAGGGCCTCCAAAATAGTGTGTAATACCATCAGCCCCACATCTTCAAAAAAGGAGACCTGTGGTGGGGGAAACTTGGGTGCGACAATAGAACAACAAAGGAACAAGAACAAGGCTATATCCGACAGTGAGGAAGAACAAGCGGAGGAACCAAAAGGAATACCGTAGATGAATATAAAATTTAAGATACGCCTCTAAGCACCAAAGGAGACGGAGGTGGAGTCCAATAAAGTAGTTTTCCACTGGAGTGCACTTAAGAGTCTCTCAGACCTGTCTCTGGCTGCGCAGTCTGGGCGTGGAATGCAGCTGTAGGCGTCAGTCTCAGTCATTCTTTGGCTACAGAACTGCTGCTGGAGGAACACTGTGTGAGGGCAGAAGGCGGTGGCTACTCTCTGTCTCTTCTGCTTGCTTCTCCGGGTGGCTCTTCTTACCTCCCCCCCCCATGTAGCTTCCTCGGTCTTTCTTTCCTTCTTCAACTCTTCCCTTCCAAATGTCAAGGGGGTGGGGACCCTCTGAACCTCCTCAGAACTCTTTCCCAGTCTCCTTAGGCAGAACACTTCCAGGTGCTCCTCAAAGAAACATTTCCATCCCAAAAGTGCCCAAAAGGGCTGTGGTCCAGACATTACCCAGAGGCCACACTGCAAGGGGCTGAACTGCATAAAGCTACACCTCTCCTAGAAGGCTTAGAGGGTCACAACCTGATCCTAGGCAGCAGCAGTACTACCACCATACGAATATTAGAAATAAATCAAGAAACTAGACCCCAAATACATGTTTAGATTTGAAGTGGGTCCCAGGTATGAAAAGGTTGAGGATTACTGACATAGAAACATCAGTCAAGAAACTAGACAAGAACTTTATTGTCTCACTCCAACAGCAACAGAAAACTCCTAACTCCACCCAGGTGCATCAAAGTCAGTGCCAAGCAATGGCCAACTAGTGGGTAAACTACATATATTTATTTATTTCATAAAATTTATACACTGCTTGATTATTATTATTATTATTATTATTATTATTAAAACACCCTTATAGTAAAGGGAGCAGGGCTTAGCAGAGAGCAGAGATGCCCTCCCCCCAGCAGGGGCACACCAAGCCGTTGGTAAAGTTGGCTGCGGCCAAGGTGCAGGCCCGGGGGGGCCCCACAAAAATCATGCCACTGATAAGTGTGTGAATCCACCCTCTTCCAGGTTCCACCCCAAACCTGGCTACAGACGGGGACCATAGTCAAAGCTTCACTAGGATTCACTGCTCCCACAAGCACCACACCCCGGACAGCAGGAGGGGGATGTGCTTATCTCCAGCATGACTGCAATTGCAGTAATAGCAGCTGCTGACACATTCCCCTATCTCTGTGTGTGCATGCGTGTGCGCCATGTAACATGGAGGCGGCTCTACTACATGCATTACGGTATCACCGGTGTGAGGGAAGGAGGAGAAGACAGAACCTGAGAGGCACTGCTCTGCTCAGGATCTGGGGAACTTGACCCGCTGAAATGAGAGGGTGGTAGAGCCATGAAGGAGAGGGTGGGGAAACTGGGTTCCTCTTTGCCCCTAGTGGGGATGGATAGACATGACTGGGCCCACTTGCACTGCTTGAAACACCTGGAAAAATTAAGCCTTCCCGTCCAACTGGCATTGTCCTCTTTCTCTCTCTCTCTCTCTCTCTCTCTGTGTGTGTGTGTGTGTAAATAAAGTACAGTGGTACCTTGGGTTACATACACTTCAGGTTACAGACTCCGCTAACCCAGAAATAGTGCTTCAGGTTAAGAACTTTGCTTCAGGATGAGAACAGAAATTGTGCTCCGGCGGCGCGGTGGCAGCAGGAGGCCCCATTAGCTAAAGTGGTGCTTCAGGTTAAGAACAGTTTCAGGTTAAGAACAGACCTCCAGAACGAATTAAGTACTTAACCTGAGGTACCACTGTAAAAAGAAGAGAGACTCATTCATCATTCAGCCCATCTGTGGATGCCCTCCCTAAATAATTAAGTAAATATAGGGAGCTATCTTAAAATGAGTTAGATCATCTAGCTAGCTAGCTAAGTAGCTCATCTACACTGTGTGGCAGCAGCTCTCAAGGGTTTTAAGGCAGGCACAAGGAACAGGGGGGGCAATACAGGTCCTTGCCAAGGGCACAAGGGAGCCTTCCCGCCCCCCGATTCTCATTTGTTTGCTTATGTGTGAGATTGACACCTCAGTAGGACAACTATCATGTAACATTTCCATGTACAAATAGACTTCAATATGGGGCACTTTAAAACAGGTATTCTTTCTGATGTCATTGTGAAATGGTTTGATTTCTTGGGACAGTGTACCGCAAGTAAGAATTTGTTTTGCACTCAGGATAATTAGAGGGGTACTAATTTTGAGCCTGGAATCTCCATCTCAGGAAGATTGTGACAGTGAACTAGTTCGTATTTGCAAAACCCTTTGATGTTGCCACCTCTGAGGGAGATTGCTTTCACTCTCATCAAATTTCACCAGAAGGTTTTGCAACAATGAGGAATTAGTGTCAGTACCTGGCAGGTACACACACTTCCCATACTACTTCTGAAGGCATTGAACAAAAAACATCCATCCCACTACTGACATTCAGAACAATAATTCAAAGCTAAAGTACATGAATTGGAAAAAAATGCCTTTTTACTGCTTATAAAATCAAGTTAGGTTGCAATCCTAGACACACATGCTTTGGAGTAAGTTTCACTGAGTTCAATGGGACTTATTCCAGAGTATACATGTATTAGATTATTCAGTGAGATAGCCCTTGACCAAATATTAAGTTCTTCCCTCATGTCCTTGTTCTTTGGACCCTACTTCCTTCAGTGGCGAGACAATGGTGATCCAAGAAAGGACCTTTTCAATTATGATGCTCTGTATCTGAATACTCTCTGGAGTGACTTGCCTCAGCATCTTTCTCAATGCCTAGGTCTTCTAAGTATTCTTGTTTTAGGCTTCTGATTTTTTTCTTGGTGTGTCTCTGACATTTTCTTAACTTTCTTTTAACATGTTTTCTGCTGCTCTGCTATTAATACAACATTTTAGTATGTTTTAATTTGTTGTTCTCAGTGCTGTTTTTCTAGAAAAAGAGGTGCCAGAACTCACCACGAACACCTCCCTCATTTTCTTATGCAATGGCACCCTACTGAGAGGTTCCGGCACTGAGTTCCAGCAAGTTCTGGCAGGAAAAAAGCCCTGGTTATTCTTATTATTGATAGCTATTTTAGGAATTCCTAGGCTGAAGGGCACGAAGTTTTCTAAATGGATGGAAGGATGTGCTCATAAAAGAATATAACAGGATCAGGCCAATAGTCCCCCTAGTCCAGCATCCTGTTCTCACAGTGGCCAACCAGTTGCCCACAGGAAGCCCAAAAGCAGGGCCTGAGCACAACAACACACTTCCCACTTGTGTTCCCCAGAAACTGATATTCAGAGGGATGCTGCCTGAAACAGTGGAGGCAGAGCAAAGCCATCATGGCTAGTTGAGTTTGTACAAGGAGGTAAGAGTGTTGAAAAATAATTTTAAATAAATTCATCCGGAACAAAAGTAATGTATTTGCTTGGTATTCTTAACCTTAAAAAAAACACATTTGCTTATCCACTTGAGCAGAACCCTTGAAGAAACATGGTTATGTGCTTTGAAATTCAAATGTATCCCCAAAATGCATGTTTACCTATATTAATAGATAGTAGCAGCAGCCACAAAGGAGCCTCTCTAATCTACATAGTAATATAGATTCTAGGTATGCATGCCAGCAGGCATCCTGAGTTGCATAAATGCTGTACGCTTTCCAGATGCCAAAGTACATATTCAGACAATTCAACACAAAGTATTACGTGGGCTACAAATCATGTACAGACTGAATGGCTTTGGCTTGGTGAAACAGGAGTACATTGGGGTGGGGTGAATATTTGGTTTATGCCATCAGCTCCACTGTGAACTAAGCTGGCATTTCAAAAAGCAGATGCAGAATGGCATAGCTACTTATCAAGTACAGTATATACCACTTTACAGTTTTTATTGTATTCATAACAGAGGTTAGCTTAACATGTTTTTAACTGAAGCAATAAAAGGCAACAGGGCAAAAGAAATCAAGCTGTCCCATTATGTCACACACACTGTCTTTCCAGCTTTGACCCAACTCAAACACGTAGAAACTCATCAAGAAAGCTCTGCAATAACATATTCACATCTCTTAAGCTATTTGTGGCAAGGTGAATTTCCTTTAAGTTGCAGAGCATTCAGAGAACAGAAGGTAAACTAAGCTTTTATGGCAGCTTTTCTGCTCCTTGCAGTGTTTATGTTTCATATGGGAACTATTCATAAGTAGGGTGTGGTCCTTCCTTTAATAAAATATTTGGTTAATCCCCCCCCCCATTGTGCCTCTTGGGCTGCCATGAATCTGTCATTTAAACAACTCATTCTGCTGCAAGAAACTGGTGAGATTTCTATTTAGGATGTAAATTTGGTCAGTATAATGACCCATGTATAGATGCTCTCTATTTCTGTCTGTCGGCATGTAGATTCCTCTTCAAAACCAGTGTGAGTGAGAAAGGTAACAAAGCTGAGAAGATAGAAAGATCTTGGGCTGTGGCTTGGGGGAACTCACACCCTTTCACCTTGGAGACAGAACCAGATATCCCTGCCTCCAGTACCTTCCTCAGCAAGCTTGAGTGCCTTAGGGACATCAGTTGCCAATGTACCAAATCACCTCATTCATCAGTCTCTCCATCAACTGCCATGCAATATTACTGAGCCAGTTTAAACTGTGCATGACAACCACAGGCTGTATACCCAGGTGCTCAAGAACAGGCAATATCTGCTCAATGTAACAGCTCTGAATGACCAATGGTTGCTGTTTGTAACAGGATTGGAAAGTCATAATATGGCCAGTTGATGACTAACAAAACCAAGCCAAATCTGCCTATAAGCAGATGTGCTTATAAGCAGATTTGACAGGCAGGCATGATGTTGACTTTGAAAATTTCTTGTTTGCAAAGCTTTCATTTTCCTCTTTTTGTATTCTAACAGATAAGTCGTCTAACATTTGCAAATATGCCAACAACGAAACCACATAAAGGGAAAAAACACAACAAAATAGGACGAACTGAATACAATAAGCAACCTGTTATAACAATAAGCAAGTTATAATATGCTGTCTAACATTCCAATAAAATGTATCACATTTTCACTCAGTTTCAAA